TATGTAGGAAAATTATGTACACTTAGCATTTTTCTTTAGCCTATTCATTATACGATGAGGGGCTTAATCCACCATTTTGGCATGGAATGGATGGTTATGTGGTTTGCTTTCAATTCTATTTTCTTTGAGCATACGGTCTAAAGCATTAGATCTCATGTTTTACTTCTTTCAAAAATTACCACGAAAAACTAACCTCGATAATTCATGTGAACGCACTACATATGAATTGATCGTAAAAAGTTTCTACAATTACTATATGCAAGGGCGAGAATGACAACGATATTATAAAAATGTCTCTAAATTTAAATGTTCTTCTATAAGCAAGTCACCTTAATGAAATCCTTGAAAAGTTAATAGTAAACATATTAAAAACGCGTTGTGAACAATAATAGGACCAAAACAAATAAGTGGATTAGGTTAAGTAGTGATTAGGCCCAAGAGCATAATAAGTAAGTAATAAGTGGGCTACATACTAAAAGTCATCCCAGGAATTATGAATCGGACCATGAGTAGCTTTAAGTAAATTGGCTACTTCAAATGGCCAAAATAAATTGTAGATTTAGATCGTTACATTTGTGGTGTCGATATTTCACTTCAGTCGTTGATCGATGTCGACTGAATAAACAATGACTTAACATCATCGCTCGGAAGGTCGTTTGACAATAATTTGCCTCACACACTTTAATAGCATTAAATTTTGGAGCTTAATTATCATGCAGGAGCTTTCACCAAGGATGTGAAAAGAGTTTTACACTTTTAATTTCGATTTTGTCTTATAAATAGGAAGTCATTATTAGGATTTAAATATATATCATCATAAAAAAGAGAGAGGTTAACTTCTTTTTATTATAGTAAATTATTATAACACTGGGTCAGAATGTAGTCTCGAAGTGAATCTTTATTTATCTTGCATGTTCTTTTGTATCTTTTTTTACTACGTTTTTATTATTGTCAGTGGTATAAAATTAGGATTTCTAATTTTCGACGAATAGATACTTTAAGTCATATTAGTTTAACTTAATGCATTAATTGAAAACAAATTAGGATCATATCCCAACATTTTATTATTTATTTAGCCCATGTTTGACACCCATTTTTTATCTCATTCTCATTCTCATTTTTCTACAGTACTCATTTCTAACCACACATTCTTCAAATAAAATAATATTACACATAAACCCAAAAATTCTTCTTACTTTTTAACCACACATTTTTTACATCAAT